GTGAGGGGGTATTCTGGGCTCCTGTCCAATCAATGTGATAAGATAGGGCCTGCTCCCAGGTACCGAAACCGGGAGCGAACCTTACAAATATGGATAAAGCTCCCTTAAGCTGCGTTGGTAACTTCCCAAGCAATTAGTTCCAGCAATATGATGCCCCCCCTCCCCCTCCCCCTCACGCAGATGGCCCGGGCAAGCCTGCTGCGGCCGGAATAGCGTTAAAGCTGAAGAGCCATTCCCGTAAAACCGCCCACGAGTGCCTGGTCCACTCCCACGTCCTGAGTCCATCAGACTTCCTCCTATGGGGAACATCACACGGGGCTGGTGTATCGCAATGATCTCCAGGACTCCCTGCCAGTTGAAGGGTCCATCAGCTGAGCAGCAGGGAGGTGTCCACGCCGGCGCCGCGGAAGAAGGCTACCCGACCTGTGCTGACAACGGCGGAAACTTTGCTTCGCTCGAAAAACGGGCTAATATGGAGCATGTGCTGTGAGGATGTGATGATGATGTTGGTGCCGTAAGTTAATGCGGTAGGTGTGGTTGTATAGTAGTGTAGTTGTAGTATGTCATCTTTGGCGACTCCTTCAAATTTTTGAAGTCATAATAGTAGTATTTGTTAGATAATTACAAGAACTGAAAGGTGTCGGTTTGTTCAAAACATTGAAAACGCACAGCAACCAGGGCGTCTTCCTCTCCCCAAAAAGTTTCGTCTTTTTAGCGGACTGCCGCGCGTTAGCAGCGTGATTGCTCTTCCATTCGAGGAAATGTGAGAGCCTAGTAGTGATGGTAGTGTGTAGATGAAATGATATGTGAGACGGGATAAGTGTCGGGAGTATAATGTGTGTCGCTGGTGACCGACGCCGCACATTGACCTGAGGCAAAAACTCGGGTTTGATACGAATCAGCAATGTGACCTTGTGACTAAATCACACTCTGACGCGTATGTTCACACCACGCACGTGCCCGGGTCCGAACCATGGCGAAGCAGAACAGGAGAAGCCAGCAGGTCGGTGAGAGCAGGAGTGAGCTGGACCGGGGCCTGATCTCACTTTGTATCAGCGGCCAGCAGGAACCAGCCAAACCGGTTGATGAGAGCAGGAGGAGCTGGAGAGGGAGCGCCGGATCTCACCTGGTACCGACCGCAGCAGGAGCCAAACAGGCCGGAGACAGGAGGTTAGTAAGCTGGACAGGGCCTGTTCTCACCTGGTGTCGGCCACAGCAGGAGCCAGCAGGCGGCCCACCAGGAGGTGTTGCACGGACCGTGCATGGCTGATCTGACCGGCCTGGGACCGGAGAGTGCATTCCTCCTGTGCCGAACGCCGCTGACGTGAAGGCCAGGGGTGAGCGCCCCACCGCTGCGGCCGGCCGCTCGCTTGCCGGTCCCAGACAGTGTCGCGCGGTGATGGAGGGCCGGCTCATCACTGCTCAGTCCAGCAGACCGGGCTGAAGGCGGGGGCTTCTGTGACGTGCAGTCAGCAGCCACCTCACATAAAAATATATGTTCGAAATAATCAGGATGGAAATAGCAGAGTCGTTTCACTGGGGATCAATCCGGCCGAATAAAACACGAAGGATTTTGCAATGTCTGGACTAGAACTATTCACGCAACGGATGGTCATAAGCCGTGGTTAATTCGCCTAGAGGGCGTTACTGCAAAGCTTCTGGGTCGCTGACGTTACGGAGGAGTTAATCCCGTGGTGTGCCAGTGTCCCCCCCCCCCCCCTCTGGTGGTATTTCGCTGGGTTGTCATGCTATTGTGACGGAGACAATGCATGGCAGGCTCCCGTACGAGTAATCACAACAATTTTGTGTCACTGCAGCCAGAAACAGAGCCAGACATTAGAGACTGGAAACAGTCCAAAGGCCTTTTGGCGACCAACCTACAGATTTGGTGCAAAATGCACAAGCGTCTCAGACGGATCATGTTTGATTGCTTCCACTCTCTTTTGATCCAACCTAGATATAATAATAGTTTTCCCATCCGCGGATGAAACTGAAGTAAACTTTGTAGAACAAAACATGGTGCTGCTGGTTGCTAATAACCAAGTAGCTAGGTGAAAGAATTCCACGATGTATGGATGTATACGTGAATGTATGTGTGTATAGCCAGGATAGCGACAAGGAGGGACGAAGTAGTTGAGAGCTTTTTTAAAACCCAAGAAGCTTTTGTAAAAGCTTCCAGGGGCTCCTGGAGAGCTTTTACAAAAGTCATCTGGAAAATAAACGGGATTTTTTTAGATAAAGATCCGTTTTCAAAGCTCTTGACTCCATTGATTTCTCGGGGCTCAGGATTTTATGGATTTTTCAAGTCTTTTAAGGATTTGAGTACCCGTATGTATGAGACAGTTTCGCTTGAAGGTCTGAACATAGCCATATGTCTGTAGGAGATGCACCCGAACTTATAGCTGTGGGCTACGCAACGCTGTTTCAGTATTAGTATGTGCGTTGTAATTGTGATATTGACTGTCATCACGCCCGCAGCGGGCAGCCAGCACGTGACTCAGGGCACGTGATCCACCGCAACCGCCCGAGTCATGTCTATCCGCCGGTGATGTCGGTGTCAAAGTGAGGTTCAGTCTGCCTTCCCACACACACCACTGCTGCCACCGGAGGGCGTTTGTAGTTGTCTTTGTTGCTGGCTGAGGGATCATGAAGCTGGTGTTCATTTCTCAAACTTCCGCAAGGATACAGAAAGCGGTGGGACACTTTTGTCGCACGGAAAAGATTGCGACACACACGCTGCAGGCAAAAAACAATATCGCTAAATAACGGTGGACTGTCATGCCCAATTGGCAAGACCTCTCTCTCTCTCTCTCTCTTCTCTCTCTCTCTCTCTATCTCTCTTCTCTCTCTCTCTCCTCTCTCTATCTCTCTCTCTCTCTCTCTCTCCTCTCTCTTCTCTCTCTCTCTCTCTCCTCTCTTCCTCTCTCTCTCTCTCTCTCTCTCTCTCTCTCTCTCTCTCTTCTCTCTCTCTCTCTCCTCTCTCTCTCTCTCTCTCTCTCTCTCTCTCTCTCTCTCTC